ACCCATCCAGAGACACTGCTTTTGTGAAGATTACAGCCACAAAAACCCAAGGGGGCAGTTTTGCTTTGTTACAGAGGCAACACTTAACAATGGAGTAGCAAGTTTATTTCTTCTTTGTTCATAGATTATTAAAGGTGGAACCCTTTGGGAATGTAGTTTTACTTGAGGGTTCTTCTAATAGAGTCCTCACAGTGGATGACCCGTAGGTTTTGTTTCCTGTTTTTCTTCTGTTTTTATATCAGTGTGGATGCTCAAGGTCTCCAGGATTCTGCAGAAATAAATGTAAGGGTAAAAGCCAATTTATCTTACCTTCCAGAGTTTCTGATTTTATTTCATTTTGGGTCTCTGTGGACTCCTCCTTTCTCTAAACTCAGCAACTTGTTAAACTTTTTTTTCTTTTTTTTTTTTTTGCTTAATTTAAAATTTTTTAGTTGTTTTTTGATCAGGAAGACAGTTCTCTGCTTTATGCCATAACAATTTTCCAACTCAGCATTCCACAGTATGGATATGGCATTATTTTAAAATCACTTCTGTACTGAGAGATTTAGGTTATTTATACTTTTTATTTTTGCTAAAATATTATGAAGCAAAAAACTCTGCCCATATTGATGTACATGGACAAATAGCTTTCATCACCAGTGCAGTGAAGCAAAAAAGCAAGATGGATTCATTCTTGTTCAGCCTTTTCTGTGCCACTTTATTTGTGCATGACCTGAAACTTAAATGCCACTAGGATATGCTTTCAGACATCTTGTAAATTTTTCCCTCTCAAACAAAGTGTCAAGCATTTTGTTATCTTTTCATAGTGTAGGTCCCCAGTGACCTTATTTTGTCCCAAAAGACAACATTGCCACTGATCCTGGATTGTGTTTCAGGGGTGTGAGCACTTTTGATTCATGCATAGTTATAAATGGAAGTCAGGTAGGAAAATATAGAGCACAGCCTCTGATGTTCCCCAGATAATCAAAACCAAAAGCCATCAGAGAATTATGTTTTCCAGATGGCGTAATTACTAATCAATGAAGAAGTGAAACATTAACCCAGCAAGTACTTGAGAGTTGACATTGTAGGGCCAATATGGCATTGAGTTCCAGGCCAAAATAGAAGCCTTTTACAAAAGCAGCAACTCTAGAGTAAATGACCCTGAATATTGTAGTAAGGAGCTCTGGTGGCATAGTGGATAAGGCAGTGGATAAGGAGTAGGTCAGCGGTTCAAACCCACCAGCTGCTCCACAGAAGGAAGACGGGGGTGATCTACTCCTGTAAAGATTTATAGCCTTGGAAACCCAGTGTGGGTTGCTAAGAGTCAGAAATGACTCGATGGCAGTGAGTTTGGTGTTTTGGTTTGTAGTATTGTAGTATCTTATCTCCATATCATTTGCCATAGGTGAATAATTTCTCTCTTCATGGTTTATTTTTCCTCAGTGGCACATTCTGAATTCTGGAATTCTTTCCTACCATTTGATTTTCCATAAACAGGCAGGATCTGAGTAAGACTGTCTGCTTTGAGAAACTGCATACATATTTGTTTATGAGACTCATAATTACATTATCATGCTATATCTTTTATCTTCAAAATGTTTTTGTTGGCTGCTGTCAACTCATGATGACCCTGTGTATAATGGGATTGGACTGTTGTGATCCATACAGTTATCATTGGGTGATTTTTTTGGGAGTAGATCATCAGGTATTTCTTCTGAGTCTGTCTTAGTCTGGAAGCTCTGCTGAAGCCTGTCCAGCATCATAGCAGTTTTCAGGCCTCCACTGACAGGTGGATGGTGGCTGTGCTTGAGGTACATTGTCCAGAAATTAAACCTGGGTCTCTTGTGTGGAGGGTAAGAATTCTACTACTGAGGTGTTCATCTTCAAAATGGTATCTGATAGATAGGGCTGTATAGAAAGAGTCTGTGACCACCATGATAATGTTAGGAAATAGGAGGACACCAAATTGTGCACATAAGAGATAGATGACAGATGCCAATACCAACCAGTATATCCACAATAATACATTACCATTAATACCAAACACCAGGCTACAGATAAACACATAAACATCTGAGAAGATCAGATGGGGGTCAGTGAACAGGAGTATGCTCTAGACCAAGGATAGATTCAGAGGAGGCTAATCTTGTACAGATACCAGTGATACAAAATACCTGCAATCCTTACAGAAACAACAGAAGACAGACATAGAGCAATCCCTCACAGACAGCCAGGCTCTGTGGGAGAGAGATCCAATGGATCTACTGACTCAGGACCATAGTACTTGGGGACACCAGACTCAGCACAGCAAAATACATAAAAGTCTTGTCCCTCATCCTACATTGGTGAGTAGCGACTAGGGTCTTAAAAGCTCTCAAATGGCCATCTAAGATGCAGCTAATGGTGTCCTATTGTCTGAAGCAAAGAAGAGGGCAAACAAAACAAAACAAAACAAGGGCATTTGGAAGCAATCAGCCCTAGGACACGATGGCCCTCGAGACCAGAAGAACTAGGTGGTGCCTGGCTACCAATGCCAACCACTCAGGAAAGGATCAGATCTGGAGATCCTGGATAGAGTGGGAGGGAAAAGAAAACATGGAACAAAATCCAAAAACTCAATAATGAACAGAATTACTGGTCGGATGGAGTCTGATGAGTCCCCCAATATTATGGCCCTGGGATACATTCTGAGCCTGAAATAAAACTCACTCTTAGGGGCTGGCTTTCAGCCCAATAGTAAACAAGATGTACATGCAGACCACTCAACCCAGGGTGATGCCCCCACATTAAAAAAAAAAAAAGAAAAAAGATATCTGATAAATCAGTATCTTTTTCAGTTTTAGACAGTAGCCAAATGTTTCTTGGGGGCCTTTCTAATCTCCCTACAAAGTATCTTTGGCATTTTTTGATTTGAGGATGAAATAAAATTTACCATAAATTTTGTATTTGAATTTTGACTATGGAACCACTCTTTGAGGTCGGCATGCAAGTTTACCAAATACTCATCCTTATTTAAAACTTCCATGACTTATCACCCAAATCACATTAACAAAAAGAAAACATTTCCATGTCTTTTAATAATGCTTCATAGTGGGAAGACCAGCTTTGGTGGAATCTCTCTGGCCTTTGAAATTGGCATAGTCCAACATAGCTACCTCAGGGCTGTGTGGGTGCAGAAAAACCTGTTTTCGTTGTTGAGTGTTCTTGCTTTCTAGTAATTTTATTTTCTGCTCAAGGGATTTAGTATCTGTTCAGATAATTTATTTTTAAAGGCCACATAAGTAATGTGACTTGACCTCTAATCTTAGCTTTGACATTTTCCCAGACACTAGTAAAGATGATATCTGATGACCTATTATTTGAAAATACTATTTATTGGCCAGCAATCAGTGCCATTTAAAAAGGTATATTTTACTCTGAAAATTATTTCCTTGGCCAAAAGCCTTTCTTAGTAAAATCCTGCATGCAATGACATAATTTGCTGACTCTTGAACCTTGTTTTATTATAATTTTTATGTGGTGTGACTGAGACTTGATATAGTTCATATTAGATCTTCTCAAATACTGGCATGAGTTAGTTCTGAGAAAAACATTCTATAAACCATAGTCTTATCAGAAATAGTACCTGTCACTTGGACCAAGTTAAAAACATTTTAGATATGAAGGGTTTTCAGAGAAAAGACCTAGAATTAAGCCTTGTTTTGTATGAATGCAGGCATTTTTGCAGCAAATGTATAGGTAAGATTTTAAGAAGGATCCAGTTACTATTGAAGACGAGATCAGCAGTTAAATTATCTGGGCTGTTTACATCAGATCACAAGCTAAGTAATTGGTGGAGTGAAAGAAGTGTTTATCCGCTATTTTTAATATGTGTGGGAAGGTGTGTTCATGAAGAAGAGGGGGAAGAAATCTGTTTTCTCCCATATGTCTGGGAAATAGCAGGTTGCCCTATTAGGTCTGTTTTACATTTCTTTTCTCAATACCAGCAGACCTTCTCAGTAAGAATCCACCTAGGCACAGTGTTGTTGTGGGATCACAGAGGAAACACATATTGCTACCGCAATATGTTGTTTTGCTTGGCTTTTTGTTAAGAGATGATATTTAGTTCTTTGTTGCTGAACTCCATGTGCAAAGAGAAGAAAGTCTGTGTAATTAATTGTAATATTAAATTGAAATCCATTATAGCTGTTCTGAAAGAGATCAGCATAATTGGTGTTTTTTCCCTTGATTCTAGTGGAAGGGAGCTATTTCAGTTCGCTTACTTGAGGCTATAAAATTGTTCTTCCTTCTCCCACAACAAGAATAATGAACATAAAGTCACAAAACACGTTCAGTGTTAATTTTTAAAATTTCCCATATTTCAAAACTAATACTACCAGGGGTAAATAAGTGCCTGACTATAAAATGGAAAAAGTTGAAATTTTCCATTTGTGCATTTTGAGCTTTTCAGAGGTATTATACACTCTGGAAATAATAATAAAAGATACTAGGACTTATACAGTGCTTTTTGTGCAAGAAACTCATATAAACACTAATGCATTGATCCAAATACAGTACTTGATTGTGACTTTAAAAGGTCATGAGTTACTGCTGTTACAGAAAAAAGGGAGGGGAGGCTCTAATTTATAAATATTGCTTAAAAAAATCTAGATACAAGTTGAATGAGGTAACTGAAAAACTAAAAAATACGGGATTCTTACTGTGTGTGAATGTTAACTTTCCTCTTAGACTAGATAGCATTGTATCCTTTTTTTTTTTCTTTTACCTTTGAATCTACTGGAAGCCTGCTTCCCTTCTTAGATGAGAAGGCGGAATCTCTGTTAAGCCTTTATCCCTTCTCAGCCAAGAAAGCTTAACCCAAGGTGGTTTTCAGAGTTTGTCACATTAACATAACGATGCGTTTTGTTTGTCTTGAATTAGGGGGATTTTTCTTAGTTTAATATGTGATACATTGTTAACTGAATTTGATGACTATTCTGGTCATGTGGCTTAATTTTCGATTTCTGTGTGTTTTGTAGGTTTATTCTTCAGACCAAGGAAGTGATTCACAACCAGCAGTAAGCAATTCACAAAATAGCAGAAGAAAAAATTAAAGAACTGGAAGTAAGTTTTGAATGAATATTGGCAATTGCAGTCAACTTTTAGGAAAAAAAAGTAATAATACCACTGTGTTTAGGCCATATTAAATGAAAAGGAATGTTAACAAGGCCATACCATATTGTTGTAGTTTCTTCTAATTTTGTTAGAACTTCTGAAGTAGTCATATTCATGAATGTGTATGAGACTGAAAATAGTCTCTTCTTTGGAACTGTAGAGAAATTTGAAGAAGATAAGTTGCTTTTAACCTGTATGTATTTTTCTCTGTTGGCTTTGAGTGAATGTGTCTGTTCTTAACAAAACAAAATTCATAACATTGCTTAAGAAAAATTCAGTAAATCTTTGGGACATTTGAGTGTATTATTATAATTTCCTTATACATTAGACCTTTGATGGGATTTCTTCTTGGGCTTTGGTGAAAGTTCCATCCTGTGTATATTGAAAGTTAGACTGGACAAAAGCTAGTTATTATTTCTTAGGGACCAAGATTTTCAGGTAGATACAGTGACTTCATAGGTCACTGTATCTAATTTCTGTGAGGACTGTTTGAGGCAGTGGTTCAGAATCTGACTCAGCCTTCTGCTGAATTAAGTGAGGCATCCCCTTTAGCCTGCTGGGGATTTCTCAGAGGCACTGACATGGCATGGCTTGAGAGCATGTCTACTTTACAATCATTCAATAAGCTATATGTATTCTTACTATATATTTCTAGAAATGCTACAGTTCACTGCTAAAAGCATGATTAATTTTTTAATGGATCCAAAGCTTTGAGACTAAGACAGGCTAGGAGAAAAGACCTGCTAATCTACTCTGAAAAATTAGCCAGTGGAAACCATATGGATTACAATAGAATATTGTCTGATCTAGTGCTGGATGAAGGAACTCAAAATATACAGTGACTACAGCAGTGGACTAGAGCATACCAGTAACTGTGAAGATGGCATAACACCATGTAACATTTTGTTCTTTTGTACATGAGGTCTCCATGAGTTGGAGCCAAATTGATGGCATCTAACAATAATGAAATTTGAAATATGCAAGTAGATGAACCAATAGATATAATTGTTGTTAAATTTATAAAAACAATTCTGTCACTGGCTCTGTTTTCACTTTCCTCCTTTCTTCATTAGAAATACAGATTAGAATTAGTGCCTAAAATGTAGAAATGTCCCTTGACATCACCACAAAAGAGGGGCTCCCATCATATGTGCAATAATTCCACTAAAAAAATGAAGTACTTAAGGCAAAAACTGGACATCCATCTAAGTGCCTGCCAGTCACCACCCATGCTGTGGAAAAAATGATCCTCAACACGTAAAATTTCTTTAATCATGGGAATTCCTCCAAAACATTTTCTCATTAGAGTATCAGAATTTAGCCAACTTGGTGTCATAGGCACTTCCTATCCATTTCACCCCTATTCTTCCCATTAATTTCAGGAACCATAGTCTGACCAAAATTTTTATGTATAAGTCAGAGCTTTAAGCTACGCAGTTCCTTAGGTTTTACTTATAGCATGGGTAGGAAAGCTATTTCTCAACCCTGAGATTGCAACACTCTGCGTCAGAAGTGTCACTAAGTAGGCCAGAATGTCCTGGGCTTCCTTATTATTATGATGACTTGACTGCTAACCAGAAGGCTGGCAGTTCAAACCCACCAGCCACTCCTCGGAAGGAAGGTTGGGCAATCTACTTCCGTAGTGATACTGCCTCGGAAACCCAAGGAGGGATCACTATGAGTCAGCACTGACTCGACAGCAGTGAGTGAGTTGAGCTAACGAGGGTGGTAGAAGGGATGGTATTCATGTTAGAGCTAGATGGGAAGACAAGTTTAGGCAGGAACCTAAAATGTAATGGGGACTTAGGCAGAAAGCAGATGAGCCTGAAGCAGTGAATGTTTGGACCCCATCTGGAATGAGAGAGAGAGAACATAAGGGAATGATGGCCAAAATGTGTTCCAGTATATCACTGAAATAGTAGTTATGTCTAGGATTAAAGTAGTTGATGTTCATAAGGCCAGGGGTCAGATTTTTAAAATAGAACATTTTCTCAAAGAATAACATAAATAATCTGTCATACTAAAGCCATTTTGTATTTTCTCATGAACAGGATCAGTATCATTGGTCTACTAATCACCATTAGGATGAAATGGTGATATTCTCTCCTAGAACTTGGCCTGTCATGTTTATAAAAGAAAGATAAAATCTATATAATATTATCGTATTGTGAACTTAAAATGAAAATATTTCCCGATCACCATGAAAGTAATTATGGTCTGAACAATGTCCAACATTTTAAGGAGAAGACAATAAAGACTATCTTTTCAAGGTTAAGATAGTGTTTGTCTTTGCATTTCTTGTAAGTAATATGACTCCCTATCAAGAGGACATAGAGGCAGGAATATAGTACCCTCTTCTTTACCATAAAAGAGGTCAGGGCCAGCAGGTGAGCCACACTGCATGACAGAAAAAGCTAAACAAATTTCACGTAAGCTTTATACTCAGAAATACAGACTTGGGGGGGGGAATTTTGGAGAAGGCAAGCATAAAGAAACAGTAAGAACAGAGCTGGGTAAAAGGGATCTGGAAAAGGTTTATCCACAGTATCATGTACATAAACCATAGGTAGGGGCTAGGGAGGTATACATATTGGCCCAAATAAATAAAACAAATCAATGGCTTTGATCAGAAACTGGATCTATAACCTAGACTAAAAATAACCTTAATTTATTCAGAGACAAATGGAAGTAGCCTGGTCTTTGTCTGTAGTGTTATGTGTGACTTGTGCCTTCCCAACTTAATTGTAAGGTATCTGAAGGTAGTAACTAATGATGATGATAATTATAGAGGATTGAGATGAAATAGTTGGACTGGCAAGACATACTATATAGCCCAGAAGAAGGGACTGTAGATCTGAAAAGAAGAGCAACAACTGGAAGGCCTTGGGGAAACTTCTTCAGAGTGGTGAATTTTTATCAAGATTCCTAAGTAATAGAAAAGCATATCTGTGATTTACTTGAACTACAGATAATTTGTATTCCCAAATTCCTATGATGCGCTATAAAGCTAATATAATAATTAGAGTGTACAAGGAAGAAGTACCTGACTTATGATTGAGGAATCAGAAAACGCTTCTCAGGAGAAGTGCCCCTGAACTGAGATCTGAAGGGATTAGTAGATGGACCTGGTAAAGGCTGGAGGAAGAAATTCCCAGGCAAAGGAAACTACTCTGGCAAAGATCTAATAGAAATAAAGAAAGCACAACAGCTTCCAGAAACTGAATATTTCTACATAGCTGGAACGTAGAGTATACTAGAAGAGTGAGTGGATGAGAAATAAACAGTCATCTCTCAAAGAGTCTTGAAAGTGTGTTCGAGAGTATGAACTTTATCCCAAGAGCAATGAGTGTTGGATTTTACACAGAGAAGTAATAGGACCAGATTTAATATTATAAAAAGATCATTCCACTGTAAATATGTTAAAGGAATTGTAAGAGGAAATGCTGGAGGTAGGAAAAACCATTAAAGTGCCACTACAGATAGTACTGGCCCTTTTTAGAAGTGAGAAAAAACTCCAGAAGGAAGAAATACCAATAATAGAGAAAATAGGGAAGAAGCAAAATTTAGAAATAAGAATTTTCCAGAACTGGTAAAAGACACTAATCCTCAGATTAAGGAAACCCAATAAATTCCAAGTAGGATTTTATCTATATAAATAAATTAACATATTGTAGCTTAAAATGCAAATAGTTGTCAACCAATCCCATCAAAGTGATTATGGTCTAAAAAACCAAAAACCAAATCCACTGCCATTGAGTGGATTCTGACTCATGGCAATCATATAGGACAGAGTAGAACTGCCCCATAGGGTTTCTATCTTTATAGAAGCAGCCTGCTTCATCTTTCTTCCCCAGAGTAGCAAGTGGGTTCCAACTGCCTTCCTTTTGGTTAGGAGCCAAATGCTTTAACCATTGTGCCACAGAGCTCCTGGTTATGGTCTAAACACATTTATTTAATTAATTTAATTAAATCTTTAAGGGTTTTTTTTTTTAAATTCTGACGTGTAGCCATCCTATAGGACAGAGTAGAACTGCTTCCATCTATTAAGAATTCAGTGGTTTTAGTTTTAGGTCTTTAATCCATTTTGAATTTGCTTTCGTTCATGGTGTGAGGCACATTTCATTTTTCTCATGTGGAAATTCAGTTTTTCCTAACACCATTTATTGAAGAGACTCTTCTTTCCTCATTGAATGAACTTAGCAGAGAAGGATTCTTTTGATGAGTTAGATCTTGATTTGTCTTTCATGTTATTGCATACTACCCTGCTGTTTTAACTAGATGTTAAAGAGAAGTTAATCTGTATTTTTCCTTATCCCAGATTCTTGCCCTGATAAGTCTGTGTTCTCATATCACATGGCTGAAGTAATAGCCACTGGCCATAGAAAGTAAGATGTTCAGTACTCAATATGGGGAAGGCCACACCTGTAACAATGAGCATACTGTGCGTGCCAGCTCAAAAGGACAGGATCCAAGGGGCTGATATTTGAGCTATAAGTAGACATCTCTAAGTCACTTAGATTAATTGTGCAGCTTTCAGTCCCCTGAATTCCTGATTTAATGCATTATATTAGTTTAGGAGTTCTGGAGTTTAGCCCTTGCTGTACTCTAAACCTTAGTTTTCTAATCTGTAAAATGAGAAAGTTGGATTAGAAGGTCTCTAGGATCACTTTCATCAGGTTTGTGGTTATATCCATGGTCTTATTTTCTTAATTGCCGCTTTGGAAGCAAAATATCCCCTGTGTCTTAAAAGGAAAAGATGGAAGGAAACAAAAAAAGCCACCCAATTTCCTTTCAGTGTCCATTTAATTGCCTTAATTTTAAAAAGCTAATTGGAATCCTATTTTTGAAGCTAAAATCAAGCGACCAATAGTTGTCCACCTATGGCTTTGCCAGATTAAATATAATACAAGATGATGGCATCTACTTTGACATCTTGTAGTAGTTGCTTA